TAGTACACCGTAGGTTGGTATATCTCTCTACCAGAGGAATCAGTAGCAGTTCTTGTCTTACAGAAGCATTGATAATAAACAGGAATGATGACAACAACCACAACAATGATCACAACTAATACAATTATAATGATGATGACGTAGAGTGATACTGCCTGGTTATTTTCTTCTTTAATATTTTCAATTTTATTTCCATTTGAGTCTTGTGAGTGCTTATCTTTTTTAATTTGTTTCCCATTGTTTTCAAATCCTTTTACGTCACCGTTCACAATATTATCATTTAAAATGTACAGACTTGTCGAATCAACACCGGTACCTACATGGTTTGTGGCTGTGCAGGTGACATGTGTTCCATTTCTAGTGACTGCTAGTTTAAGAAGTCGCAATACTTGCCCTTCAGTCTCATATTCGTATGGCTTTAGCATTGGTTGAAATGTCCATCTAAATGTCGCTACAGGAGGATTAGCAACTGATTGACAAAACAATATAGAATTTGATCCCGCATATATTGCATTAGTGTGTCGTATTTTAACTTCAGGATTATATTGTATATTAAGGTCACTAATTGTACAATTTAAAGTGTCCGACATAACTTTTGTATGCTGTTCACAGACGAACGTTTGTTCATTGTCCTCTTTTCTTGCAGTGAACTGAAGATGTTTATAAGCAATATTGTCACGTATCTCTTTACTTACATGCATTGGTGGTATCGTTAGTGAAGTAGGCCTACGTGACCATCGTAATTCCACTGGAGGTAAAACTACCTCTGAAATACATGTTAGTTTTACATCCGAGCCAGCAATATAACTTTTTCTTGATTTTAAACATTGAGGGTATTCACTGGAAGGCTTTTGTAGAATAGTCACGTGAGCGAACTCGGACTGTTTTTCATAAGGATGCGATATCCTGCAATAATAATCGCCTTCATCTTGCCTTACTGATGATGATATAACTAACCAATACATTATTTTATTAGTATCTGGAATTTCTGCCAAATTTGCGGTTAATCTTGGATCTTTGATAACTATACCGTTTTCGGCACTAATTTGACGATCACTTTTCCACCAAGAAATACTAATACCCTCGGATAAATCACCTTCAAGGAAGCATTT